AAGTAACATTTCCCCAGTTCTTCCACCCCCACCTGCTGGTAACCACCATCCTCTGTTACTAGGAATTTGGCTTTTTTAGATTTCACATATAAGTGAGATCATCCAGTGTTTGTCATTCTCAGTCTGACTTACCTCACTTGGCGTAATGTCCTCAAGGTCTATCCATGTTGTTGCACATGGAAGGATTTTTCTTTTTCACCACTGAATAATATTCATTTGTTTATATAAGCCACATCTTTATCCATTCATCCATTGATGGACACTTAGGATGTTTCCCTGTCTTCGCTGTTTTGAGTAATGGTGCAAAAGCATGGGAGTTACAGACATTTTTTCCAAGATCCTGCTTTTCATTTCCTTTCGATATGTACCCAGAAGTGAGATTGCTGGATCATATGGTAGTAGTTTTTTTTGTCCATCTTCCTCGTTAAATTTTAACTATACTACAAAACTTCACAGAGCATACGTGTCTTTTTATTAACCATTTTTATTTCCTTCCAAGACCCTAGAATTTAGCACTTGTTCCCTGGCAGGTGGGTCAGAACACTTGAGTCACCCACAAAAGCCATGGTCCTCAAAATCTTTCCTTCGGTTTCCGAGTCTTACTGATACGCCTGTACACAAGTATAATAAACCTGACTCCATTGCCCCCGGGGTGAATTCCTTCTGTTAGGAGATGAAAGAATGGCCACAATTACTTTTTTACTTTAAAGTTGTAGGGCTAAAAGGCTTATTCACCTGAGGTTCCTGCTTCCTCCTGCTAATGGATTCTCTGCTGTCCAGACTGGCTTGCATGTGCTCTGCGCTGCCTGAATTTGCGGTGGGTGCACTGGGAAGAGCACGGATGCCTGTGTCTGGGAGCTTTAAGGAAGGAGATAGAAGACCCAAAAATGATGCAGATGGAAGAAGCAAAATTGAGATACTTTTAAGTGTGCCTTTGCTCCCCTGTTCTCCCTGGGCTGTGTTTTCAGCAACTGTACTGGACCTCCACATGTTTTTTAAACTAGCTGTCGCCTTTGGAGGAGACCATCCACATATCCAAATTCCTTAAAACGGAAATACACTGTATTGCTAGGGCTGGGCCTGGGGTTCTAGAGGACCGTTTTCATGGACAGGTCTAAACGGCTTTTTCCTGAAAAGAAAATCTCCTCTTGCTTATTAATGCCTGAAGGTTTTTCAACAGAGGGCAGTCTTCCGTTTCACAGGTAGAGCTACTCTTCTTCCACACCAGTTCTCCTTCCTGAATTCCTTCAATTGTATATCCCAGTGATTCTCCACTGAATTTTCTACTGAATGTTGTTAACCTTTTGTATTCTGTATGTCTAGAGTCTACATGACTGGGAATAAAAACCTTATAATCTTTGAGTTAGGTCTTTTTTTTTTCCTTCAAATTTTTATTTAAATTCCAGTTAGAGATAGGTCTTAAACATTTTCTAGAAGTTCACATTTGAGGAATTCATTCGCCTGATCTCACATCACTGATTTGATTTGATAGCATTGAGCACTTGACCAGAGTGGTGCTGAATCTGGAGATGGAGCAGATAAATCCTTGGCATTTTAAAGTAGCCAAGGGCCAGCCCTTTTCACCTTGAACTGTATATACAGACAAAAGCAGTGTGCTGAGGCTGGGGGTAATGCATCCTGACGGGGACAGACTCTTGCAACACTGACTGTAATGAGCTTTGCTAGTTTCCTAGCAATGTCTGATACTCAAGAAGTATCTATCCTGTGTTTCAAGATCAGGATATTTTTATTCTGGGTCCAATTCTACCTCCTGATAGTGATTTCAATATAGTGAATTTTCTGGAGGCCATAGTTATTACAAAGCAGTGGGTTTACTCTTTTTCCTTTTGCTCATATGGAAAAAAAACTTACGAGGGATATCATTAAACGAAAAAACACTGAGGAACCAAGGTGTAAGATTCCAGTTGTGTGTATCTGTGTGTATATGTTTAAAAACATTTATAGGGAAGTTTTTCTGATTCCCAAGAAACTTGTAATTACCTCTGGGAAGACTAGGTTGCAGGAAGAAGTTGACGTAACTTTGAACTCTAATATTTTCTGTATGGTGGATTTTTAACTGTCTACGTTTATTTTTTCCTTTATGTGAAAGATCACAAAAAGGAACATAACCAGCAGACTTCTCAGAATTTACACACCAGAAATTCCAGTACATAAGTTATGCACATGGATGTTTAATGAAGCATTTTTTTTAACAGGTTTTTTTTTAAAATATTTTTATTTATTTCTAGGAGAGAGAGAGACAGCGTGAGCAGGGGAAGGTCAGAGAGAGAGGGAGACACAGACTCTGAAACAGGCTCCAGGCTCTGAGCTGGCAGTCAGCACAGAGCCCGATGCGGGGCTCGAACCCACGAACCGCGAGATCATGACCTAAGCAAAAGTCGGACGCTTAACCAACTAAGCCACCCAGGCGCCCCTGAAGCATTTTTTTTTAAATTTTATTTTTGAGAGCGCACAAGCAAGGGAGGGACAGAGAGAAAGGGAGACATAGAACCCTAAGTAGGCTCCTCAGAGCCTGTCGTGGGGCTCGAACCTATGGACTGTGAGATCATGACCTTAGCCGAAGTTGGATACTTGACTAACTCAGCCACCCAAGGGCCCCTGGGTGTACTGTTTTAACAAAAATTGCAAACAGTCTGACTATCCATCAGGGGAAGAAAGAGTTGAAAAAATTATGACATCTATACAAAGACGGTCAAAAAAACCCTTTGGTTTACAGGCAACAAACTAACTGGTTAGTGTATGTAAAACTGTGGACTTAAGTTGTAAGTATACTGATGGTATCTACTTCTGGACATTTCCCCCTATGCATTTTTTACATAGTTGTAATTATATGTGCAATCTAGCATTCAGGTTTTTAGTATGCAAATTTAGGTATTTTTGTTCCTGTTGATAGACTCTTTAAGTCATAGTATATATAAACTGGATTGGGTACATATTGATAGTAAATTAGTAATCTGGAAGTAAATTATTTCCCTATTGGATGATACTCAGGTTGAATCTAATTTACTCGCTGTTAACACTATCAAAATGTGGCTTTAGCCAGGGGAAGCAGTGGTGAGAGATGGGAGGATTCTGATAGATTTAGAAGGGAGGGTCAATAGGATTTGCTGATGAACTAGATGCAAGATAGAGGTGGAGTCAAAGGTGCCATCATGGTTTTTGGTTTTTGGCCTTAGCGGCTGAAAAGATGGAGTGGTCACCAGCTAAGATGGGGAAGAATATGGAGAGGCCTGGGGGGATGGCTGCTGGGAGCATGTTAGGTCTGAGATCTCTTGTTGATAGTTACAGTTGGAGGAGCCTGGAGTTCATGAGAGCTGTAAATTTGGGAGTCCTCAGCATTACAGGAGGTGTTTAAAGTCAAGAGACTGGGTGAGATCACCAAGGAAGTGAGCAGGAATAACGACTGAGCCTCGGGGCTTAAAGGCAGAAGAAAGGAGGCTGAGGGGCAGCCACTGAGGTAAAAAGAAAGCCCCTTTAAATTCCAATTAGAAATTATTCTTCATTGAGATCTCACTAAAAAATGAGCTCTTATTTTACTCTGACCATCATAAAAGGTAGCAGTCACCAACAATTGAGTTCTGGATCTGTGATCTTTCAGTCTTTGAGGCAGTTTAGAAATTACAAAATTTTGGAAGTCACCTGGATATTAAAGAATATCAATATGAGCAGAAAACACTCTATTTGTGAGGTTGTGTAGAACTGGTGTTTTAGAGTTGTATTCCCTCTAGGATAGATGTGTAGTGGATAGATGACAAATAGATAACATGTTTTCTAGGGCTGCTGTAACAAACTACCACAGGCTGGGTGGCTTAGCAGAAATTTTCTCTCTCACAGTTCTGAAAAATCAAGAAGGCCAGAAGTCAAAAATCAAGCAGGGCTGGCCCCTTCTGGAAGCTAAGGGACCATTCCATCCATCTCCCCTCCCAGCCTCGTGTGGCACCTGAGGGTATGCAGCTTGCGTAATCCTGCCTGTCTTCACTTGCCTTCTTCCTTGTGCCTGTTTCAAGTATCTTTCTCTCTTATAAGGACACCAGTCCCTGGATGTAGGGCCCATCCTAAATTCAGGATGATCTAATCCAGGATGATCTAATCCCAAGATCCTTAAATCTGCAAAAACTCTTAAAAACTCTGGGGCACCACTGAGCCTCCAACTCTCTTATTTCGGTTCAGGTCATGACCTCGCGTTCGGGAGTTTGAGTCCTGGGTGGGGCTCTGCACTGGCAGCACGGAGCCTGCTTAGCATTCTCTCTCCTTGTGTGCCTGCCCCTCCCCACCTCACATGCACGTGCACTCTCCCCGTCTGTCTCAAATAAACTTAAAAAAAACAACAACAAAAAAACAGGGTCGGGGTGCCTGAGTGGTTCAGTCAGTTAAGTGTCCGACTGCAGCTCAGTTCATGAGTTTGAGCCCCACGTTGGGCTCTGTGCCGACAGTGCAGAGCCTGCTTGGAATTCTCTCTCCTTCTCTATCTGCCCCTCCGCCCTCACTCCTCTCTTTCAAAAATAAACTTTGAAAAGACCTATATATGGCCACCTTCACAGCTACAGGAGGTTAGGTCCTGGACATGCCTTTGCAGGGACATTTAAAAAAATTATTTTTAAGTATTTTCTGACTGCTAGCGAGGGAGGGGCAGAGAGAGGGGGAAAGAATCCCAAGCAGGCTCCACGTGGGGGGGGGAGGTGGAGAAGGAGGAGCTCAATTTTCTTGACTGTGAGACCATGACCTGAGCCCATATCAAGAGTCAGATGCTTAACTGACTGAGCCACCCAGGCACCCCTGCAGCAGGGACACTCTTAAACCCACCACATATTATGAAAAGGTTTGCTGGATAAGCAGTAAGTTGCTGGCCAATTCCTAAGAAATACAGATAGAAGTTGTTGCTAAGTACTAGTTTTGTGGTAAGAGAGAAAATGGCAGAAAAATAAACTCTATGTAAGAATAAATGAAAGCGCTGTTCCAAATTAACTTGGGAGGCCATATCAATTTCAATCACTCGTCTTTATTGATAAAATAGGCTCCTATGCAGTATACATTCTCAGACATAAGTAGAACCTTAAATTTAAAAAGAAAAAAGTATGGATGGAAAACTGTTGCTATATAACAAAGTAAATGTCTTTAAACACCAAGACCTTAAAATTATATCCAAGTAAGAAGACCAAGAATAAATTAACTTGTTTATAAAAATAATTAGTTATCAAGAAACATTTTAATAATAGAGCTGCCTCAATGAATTGCCTCAGACTTCATCTCAACTGTATAGTTTATTTTCGTTAATTCTGACTTGGGATAAAACTATATCAATGAATGTGCCACCAAATTAACAGATACTTTCCCCAAAACCAATAGAAAAGTTTAGAAATAACTGTCAGTTATAAAATATCAATTAAGGCCTCTGAGAAGTCTATTCAGTGTTTGGGCCATTAGCCCTTTTCAATCAGCCCCACTTACTTCAAACTTAAGATACAAAAATTACAAGTGAAAAGTAGTTTTGAATTTTACCAATATATGAAATTATACACAAAAGCTACCATGTGAATATTTAACAAATTACATACCCTAAAGTAGAATTTCCTATTGTGCTAATTTTAATACAAATTAGTATATTTAATCATATTTGACATTTTTCTTTTATCCTTCTATAATCCTGAAATAAGATTGAGATTTCAACTGATGTTAAAGTACATTTCTATTTCCAGTGGCTTTTAAAAATTTACATACTAGATAAAGATTTTGGAAAAAAATGAAACAAATACTTATAAATCCACAGATTTCCTCCCACCCACCCCCCTTTTGACTGATAGATTATAAGAAAAATCTTCCAGGTTACAAGGACCAGAAGATAGAGCTTATGAAGACATCCAGAAAACAAATTTTATTTTCAAATTGTAATTTACTTTCTGCATTTTTAAAGAAAGGGTTCAATGAGGCAGAGGAATTCCCAATTTACTTTGACACATACCTAGTTTGCTATTTCAAACATTTCAACTCTGTTATTAGCTTAAAGAACTACCTAATATCCTTAAAGATCAACCAGAGAAGAGAAATACCTCATCTTCATTATTAAGAACCAAAACTTAAATCTTTCAAAGGAGTAGTTTAACCTACTAATATGTCTCTTATAAGATCTTCTTTCTTAGAAAGTAATATTCTTTCTCTTTCATTCCTGAAATGTTATTTCATATACTTAAACAACTTATAGACAATTGTCAGTGGAGTATTTTAATTATGGTAAACTGGCTAAAATTAAATTAACTTTGTTTATTGGTGCATATGAAACATTCCTACACTCTTGCAAACTGAGTGTTCTTTGACCAAAATTTACAGTAATGGGAAGGTAGACAGGCAATCATTAAAGCTGAAGTCTCACGGTACATAAACTATTTGTTAACTCTGACACCAAAGAGGGAGAAGAAATAAAATTTAATATGACAGTCTTCCATTTACAAACTGTGGCAAGATGTATATTTTAAAATTTGGATAAATGCATGAATTCCCATTTATTGGGAATATTCATGTTTATCCAAGCATCATCCAGGGTTGTCAACAGTACTGCTGTTAGGTTCAGCAGTCACTCAGAAAATCTTTAGTTTCTTCACCAATTAACAAAGTTTCTAGTTTTTAATTATATTTTGGAATAAAATCTATGACCATTAATTCTGCATTTTTGCTAGCTTAAGAATGTCATTGCCAGTGCACTGTACACACTATAGAAAAAAATAAAGGGTGGCTTGAGATGGATTTTTCTGTTAATTCATTCACATCAGGCCAGTCCCAGTGACGATGTGGAGCTTTGCAAAAAGCTCACAGACTTACAGGCTCTTCAGCTCTTTCTCAGACTTAGGTCACTATTGGTCACTAATGCTGACAAAGATGAACTTTCAGACACATCATCTTTCCTAAGGTTCAGAAAGGATTCTCGAGTTATCTGGAGGATCTCTCTCAAGCCTTTGTTTTCTTGCTAAAAAAAAGGCAAACAAAAAGATGTAGTCACCAAAATAGCTACAAAAATACAAACGTATCTTAAGCCAAACATTAGAAGGTATGACAAAAAGTTTTATAATTGGCAGAAATAACTAAATGAACATACAAAGTTGACAACTTGAATCCAGAGAACACTTTTAAAGAGGGAGGAACTGTGCTCCTTTCCCACCAGTGCAAAGCCGCCTTATTTACGTGGCCGTAATTATAGATGGAACCTCAGAAACGGTCTCATTTCATAATCACAGTAAAGATGAAGAAAGGAATATCTAGATTTATACTGATATAAACTCAACAAAGCCTCTTGGTACTTTAGTACCTTAACTACTTTTCCATGTTAGCATGGAATGCAGGAAAGTCCATTTGGTTTGGTTTGTTTTCCTCACTGGAATTTGAAAGCAGTGGGGCTGGCTGAGCAGATTGTGAGATTTTTCAAGAAGGAAAGTTAAGCGGCCAAATTGAGCACTGATAAACAAATCTTTTTCTTCTAGATTAGTTACTGTAAGAAATTAGCAGACATTCAAAAGTGTCTATAATTCTCAATTTCAATGGTATAAAGCAAGGATCAGCAAACTACAGTCTGGCTCAAGGCCTGTTACTGTAAATTAAACTTCACTGGAACATAGGGAAGCTCAATATTTTTTGTGTGTGGCTGCTTTTGTGTTACAGTGACAGAGCTGAGCAGTTGTAACACAGAATCTCTGGTTTGCAGAGCCTAAAATATTTTCTATCTGGTCCTTTACTTAAAAAGTTTGCTTAGCCCTGTTTTAAGGAATGAGAGAACACTATGCTTAGAGACAGAAATCACTTTTGGCCCTCAATAACCAACATCCCCGCCATGATTTCAAAATGAAGCTTTTAAAAGTATAAGTCAATTCTACTGATTTAAATTATTCAACAGTAACTTCTGCTTTCACTACCACAAAATAAGACAGAAAAGCTTTTATATTCCACAGAAAAATACGAATGCCCAAAGAATAACTGTAGATTAAAATAATTTTCCCTGCATCACCATGATCTCCAATAAAGAAAAATTTTAAATTACTAAATTAAAAGGCACATTCACCTAATAATGGGAACACATAGGATCCAAAAATGTCAATTTGCTCAAATACTGCTGTAAGTTATACTGATCCTAGACTCTTGTATTACTGTTGAAATAGTTTTGCATTATATACCCATATAACCAATATGGGGAAGAAGGAGAACATTACCAGTTTAGGGTTAAGAAAGAGAACATTACCAGTTTTCCAGGGAAGTATATATTCATGTATTTAAATAGGACGGATTTTCTGGCATGAATCTTCGTATGGACAGTTTTCACCCACAACTGCAATTTAAAACTTACTTCAAGTTGAAATATTCGTTCCTGTTCCTTGCAACCCTGCTGCTCATCGATTTCAATGGCTTTCCTCATTACTGCTGCCATTTCTGTTATCTGATCAACATGTGCCTGTAATTCCTGAAAAAAAAAGACGGGAGTTGCAAATCAGTGAAATAACTTTGTTTTTATTTTTGGATCCTTTCCTTTTCTTTAAAAAAAAAAAAAAAAAAACTGCATTGCCACTTAACATGAATGTAATATTCTTACGTTGCCATTTAACATGAATGTAATATATCAAACACATATTTACAAGAAAGTTGACTATGAATGTGCTTTTGAAATCAGATTTCTGTTGGGATTATAAATCAGGATAAGCAGCACAATACAACTAAACCCACTAGCAAGAAGAGTACTCTTTCACATGCCTCTTACAAATGATCAATGACCTTTTCCTTTTTTGTAGCTACATCTACTACTAATCAAAGTAATGGGAAGGACAAAAATTGTTGACATATTGAATCTCTTTATCCCAAAGTCTTCCACAATTTATACATGTTTTATTTATTATCTGTGCCTAAAAACTGATCTCAATCCAGCCCAAAATTTTTCGAGGTTATAATCCTCCTTGAGAGCAGGAACTGTATCTTGTTTATATTTGCCCATGTTTGGCACATAACAGATAATAAAGTAAAATGAACATTAAGTCTGCTTTTAAGTATTAAAATATTAAATGGCCTTCTTTGCAAATTGTTCAAAATATCACAGATATAAAATAGATATCCACATTTGTTTGGTGCAGCACGTAAAAAAAAAAATTTTTTTCCAATCTTGTGCTATTCTTTTCTGCACACCGATAGTTCTGTGCCAGGCAACAGAAATACGAAATTATTAAGACATGTTCCCTGATTTCAAGGAGCTTCTAGTCAGGTGAAAGAGACAGACACAAGGTTTAAAAATTAACAGAAACTTAAGAATAATCATTTTTTAACAAACAGCTTCTTATAGACCATTGTTCACTGGCAGTTGAGGGTTACTTTGTTATATTAAGGACAAAACTTAAATATAAAAGCTAAAAGCTCCCCCAAAACCCTGTCTCTTAAATAGCCGTATATATCCTATTTATAAAAAGGATTTGAAGAGGACCCCCAAAACCTATAAAACTAGTAAACTGAAAGAAATATGGAGAACAAATAGTATCTTTAGCAAACCACACATGTAATATCTTGTAGCCAACAAAAATGCAGGTCCTAGTATTATTTTAATGGAGAAACCTATACAATGCTGGTATGCAGAAAGAAGGCAAAATAAAAAGACTAATCTACACTATCCAATATGATGCTATATAAATGTCCATTAAAATTAAACACCCTTTAAGAAGTTAACAATTCAGTCCCTCAACTGCATCAGTGACACTTTAAGTGCTCACTAGCCACGTGTGGCTGGTGGCTTCCATACTGAACAGCACAAAGAACATTTCCATCATTTCAGAAAGCACTATTGGACAGTCCTGGATTAGATTATGGTAGCAAGAATAGTGTCAAGACCAACATCTGTTATATTCTGAAATAGTTTTTTGAAAATGATTAAATCCCCTCCCCTCTGGAAAGGGAGCATGTTTAAAAGCAAGTACAGATAATTACAGCAGCAGATTGAGGATAATGAAAAAAATTCTGAACACCATCACTTTTTTCAGCTTATCATTTAGTGTCCTTTTACGTTAAAAGACGGTACAGGAAGCAAATAATTCTTTGCCTTTAAAATGGAAGAAAATGAGATTCCACTAATTTTTTTTAGGACAGTCTATTCTAATAAAATCATGAAAAAAAAATCCCAAGACTTTAAACAGAGTAGTAATTTCATAGGCCCAGTTCATGGATAGTTAACTTATTACAATAAAATTTTTAGGGAAGCATCATAGACCTTTTAATGAACACAAGAGGCTAAGACCTGTGCTTTCGAAACAGTTGCTAAAGGCAACAGGTATCAGTAACATAATCCTTGAACTGTCAGTGATATAATCCTTAAACTTTCTTGAAATGCTCATTTTTAACTTTTGTTTAGGTCTACTCAACACTGCTCAGTCAAGACCTGCCACAATTAAAACAAAGACAAGATAGTGTATGCTATTAAATCATATAAGACCGAAACAAAGGCATTTTTAAGTAACTGTGAACTGAAACCGAAGGACTACTAACCATCAGAAATCGAAATTAAAATAGTTGGAGCAAAATTTTTATGAAATTAGATTAAAATGACTGCCAAGAAAACGTGGTTCACAAAGAGGGTAACTGTTTAAAGATTACTAAAATTTCGCAGCAATAAAAAGAAAAGCTGGCTTGAACACCCTTTAAAGCCTGCAATTACCTAACAGGCTGTGTATGGTACAATACACATAGAAACAATGACAGATTTAAAGTTTCTACACTGAATATTTTTGCATGGCTGTCAAAAGCACAGCATTTCTTAAAGCAATTTCATTTATTTGTTGATTTGAACTGGCAGGAAAATTCAATGTAAAAGAACATTTTAAATGGACCTCCCCCCTTCCATCCACACCCCAAAAGTCGACTGTTTTATTTAGTGTACATTCTGATTTGCTTCCAAGTGCCTCCTCTCCAGTCCATGTTGAGATGCTTCAAAGATGTGTCGAGATGCATCAAGGAAGAATCCTTCGGAGCTGTTACGATGTACCATGTCAATCTGTAGTATAGAGTCATTATAATGTTAATACGGACATTATCCGTAATTTAAAAACTGATGAGTGTTAGTTCATGCGTGTTAGCCAATTGTTTGAAATGTTTGTTTTTTTAAGATTTCCAAAAAGGCATCTGTTAAAAAATAACGTAAAAATGAGCATTTGGATAAAAATGAGTTCTTCTCAAACCTTTTACGGATTTTTAAATCTGTGCTCAAAAACTTCTAAGTGAGGGAGAAATTCTGTGTCACGGTGGTCTCAAAATGGTCTCATGCCCAAATGCTGTTAATGTGTAACTCTGTTAACCTAAGTGTGTTTTAAATTTTTCAGTGTTTAGGCTTATCAGAGTGTCAGTACCTAAACACGTCCTGGAATCTTTCGTTTCTGCACCTTTATCACACCAGTGTCTCTGCTCACCCACTTCTGCTTGTTGACACTTCCTCTCCTCCCCCCCGCCCCCCCTCCTGCCAATAATTAATTCAAGGCTGGATTTGGATGGATTTTTCTTCCTTTCTTGACACCTTTCCAGATTCTCCTCATGAGAACTAATCTTACTACCACTAGTATTCCCATATTAAAAGATAGCTCTATTTTAGGATTCATCACAGCCTATCTTATATTCGATATTATGTTTGTATCTCTCTCCCTTTACACTGTGAGCTCCTATGGCAAAGTAATGGAACGTAATTATTCATCTTAGGATTAATAACTAAGCCAGTGCAAGTGTTAATAAATGTTTATTTAATTGAAGTGTCTCCTTTTTGGGAAAAATCAAAATCACAAACATTAATATGTATTAGTTAGAATTAACGACAAGTAACTGAACAGTCATTTTATGGAAGGTAAGGATCAGCACTTAGATGAATTCAATCTACACAGTAAAACAGGATGGTTTATAGCTATCTTAAGAAATGTTTAACTTTACTAATTAATAAAATTGCTCTAGTGAATGGTAAACTCTTATGTGTTTTAGAAAACATTTGCTTCTGGCAGAGTTGCTACCAGACAACTGAGAAACCTGCAGTATCTTATGCTAAACATGTTCTGGTCAGAGTATTCCCTTCATATCTTAAAAAATTTCTTAGGTTTTAAACATTAGGGTCTTTTGGAACTTCTTAAGATTATATTTATTTTACCAATAATTTAAGTCAATTTGTTTTCATACCTTTAAAAGAAACACTCAAGTTATGCATTTAAATTTAAATGTTTTTATAATGATCTCATTAACAACAGGTAAATATATATTCAAAAGATTGTCACTTAAACATCCAAGGTTATTTCCCTTTGGCTAGAAGATGGATAGTATAAATAGGTAACATTAAACCCTTATTTATTAATCTATTTTACTATTGACACAAGAGGTATCTATTACTAGTAGATAATGTAAAGTTATCTCTAATAATAAAGATAATAATAATATTATTAATAATGTAAAGTTATCCTACAAGGCTTTACTAGATATTTAATTTTAATAGAATAATTAATAATTAAAAAATACCTACAAGCACCAAGATGAAAGAATTATTTTAAGGACTCTAAAATGTGTTTCAATAATTAAGATGAAAACATGTCTTAAAACAGTATTTCTTAAATGTTAGTAATAACTAATAATAGTTAGCTCACCATTATCCAATACAGATAATAGCTAGAAATCACAATATTCTAATATTTTTATTTCACACCAGCAGTTAAAATTTAGTTTAAAATGTAAACAGGAAGGGATTACTCTACTTGTCTTTACAGTAGTTACTAACCAGCACAGGGACATACACAAAGGAAACGCACAGGGATGTCAATAAGTGAACTTGAGCAGAGGGAAAGACATGAATTTCTAACCAGTTCAGTTTTGTCTCTAAAAATGGTACTAACTCATCTGTGACTGGGGGGTGGGGGGAGCGCAACATTTTAAGATGTTGGTTCTTTTCCTCCCCAGTCACCCATAGTTTTTCCATCATAATCAGTATTATTTCTAATCTGGATGAATTAGCCTCACTCAGTAAACAGTCTGAAGAAAAATCTACCGTTAGCTGGTTTCAGATTTCTGAAACTGTTTTCAGCATTTCAACTGTTTTGCAACAAATGTCAACACAAATCTATTAAAAGCAGATGCCCTTATAGAATAATTTTGAATTGAATACACTTACCTTTACTTCCCCAATAAAATTTATTTTTGAAAATATGTTAAAGCTACTAGGGAGCAAAAGGAGTTAGGAGAGTAATCAAAGTAAATAACAATGAAAAAAATAAGGAAAAGCAGAAAATGTCAGAAAGATGAAGTATTAAAAATATCATGTTAGATACCTGTGATTTAACAACGAAAAAAAACCTCAACAGAAGTTAACCAATTTGTGCTTCTTTTCATTTCAAATTATGTTTATAGAATGGATTACCTTGGAGTGCTGCTCTTTTAACTTCGTTATTATACCTGGGTCATCTTTTTTGCTGGCCATTAGCAGTCTGAACATTTGCTCTCGATACTTGCTCATTATAAGTTCCAAGGCAGACTGATGTTCTTCCAGAGATGTGCGCAATTCTATCAAGAACAATAACAGTATATTTTACTCAAACCTGAGTTAAAGATGTACAAAATAGTCTCTTCCCCATTACATTTATCAAAAAGGCAAACTTTTTATAAAGAGGGTATTTTGGAAAGAAAACATGAAAAACTCTTGCCATAAAGAAATAAAGGATACCAATTGAGTCCTTTGATTTTTTAAATGACCATTTAAAACTAATTTTTATAGAATCATTTCAATAAACATTTACTGAATAACAATTAAGTACCAGATAATGCTGTATAGTAAGAATACCCATAAGGCCATGGAGCTCACAGTCTAGTTGAGAAAGCAAATACATAAATAATTATAATACAATGTATAAAGGACAGAACAGAGCTCTACCCAAATATATATGAGAAGTCTGTGAGGAAAAACTGGTGAAAGCTTCAAATTATTGAGATGAACTTGCATTCCTGGAGCTGAAAAATAAAGGAAAGGACACTGAACAGGGAGGCATGAAAGTGAATGCAGTGTTGAGGAATTAGTTCAGGATGGCAAGAAAAAAGGTTTCATGGAGAAGTATGGGGAAAAGATAGAAAAAAAGGCTTGGAGTTAATTTTGAAGGCCTGTGGATAAGGAAATAAGTACAGTGAAGGTTCTAAGGCAAAAGAATAGCACGATCAGATATATCTTTGAAAAATTAATCTGATGCCTGTGTTGAAGATAGACTGGAGGGGGAAAAGGGCCTGGAACTGGGGAGACCAATTAGGACAGTTCAGGAACGAGACTATGAACACCTAAGCAAGGGGCCAAACCAGTGGGACCACAGAGAAAGAAAGTTATTTCATAGGTAACAACAATGGTACAAACTGGATATTGAGGGTGAGAACCCAAGATGACTCCAAGCAAGGTAGACACTCAAACGTAGGAAAAGGCATAAAAACCAATACAGATGTTTCAGGCATACGGAGCAGAAATGAGATTAATAACAAAGTAAATTTAGTTGGCCATTTCTCCACTGGTTCCAAATTAATAGTCAAATTGTAAATTAAAGCTCTCTTTCTCCCTTTCAAAGTGTAGATTCTATGGTATGTGACTAATAGTTAACAAATAATAGTAAACAGTAACAAAAGAACATGTGCAAAAGAAATGAAAAAAAAATTTTAACTCCTTTATTTTCAAGGCATTTGATGAGTCACTTAGTAACTTAATTCATTATAACATTCCTGGTTCTAAGCTTTAGTTGTCAAACTCTTTTGTCTTTACAATCATAGGTTCACTGGAATGAAGTGATTATATATCTTACCTTTGTTCTCTTGTTGCAGTTCTCTGATTTGTCTGTTTTCTTGCTGGATTCCCATAACTAACGTGGACCGTGGCCGGTGCCTTGCAACTTCATTAAGTTCTTGAATTTCTTCCTGATACTAATGAAAAGATAAAAAAAGAAGGGAGAAAATATTTGAAAATATGTTTCTGAGATACATATCCGATAAGGGTTTAATATCCAGAATACTCTTAAAAGTCTCAACAATAAGAAAACCCAATTAAAATAGGGGCAAGTAAGATAAGTTCTGGGATCTAATGTATAGCATGGTGACTATAGTTAACAATATTATGTGGTTAGAAATTAGTAAGAGTAGATCTTAAGTGTTCTCATCACACACACATACATGGTAATTATGTGAGGTGATGGAGGTGTTAACTAACTTTACTGTAGTAATCATTTTGCAATATATGTGTATCAAATCATCTTGTACACCTTAGGCTTATACAATATTATATGTCAATTCTATTTCAATAAAGCTGGGGAAAAATGGGCAAGGGATCTGAAGAGACAGTTCTCTAAAGAAGGTATACAAATGGCCAATAAGCACATAAAAAGATGCTTAATATTACTAGTCATTAGAGAAGTGCAATTCAATAGAATAGTGAGATATGACTTCACAACCACTAGGATGATCTTAATCAAAAAGTCAAATATCAAGTGTTAGAATGTGGAGAAACTATATTGTTGACATGTAAAATGGTATAGCTGCTTTGGAAAATAGTCTGGCAGATCCTCAAAAAGTTAAACACAGAGCTATTATATGACCCATCCATTCTACCCCCATAACTAGAAATGTATGTCTATACAGAAGCTTAGACACAAATATCCACAGCAGTTTTATAATAGCCCCAAACAGAAACAATCCAAATGTCCATCAACTGATGGACAGACACACACACTGTATCCTTGTATGTTGGAATATAATTCAGCAATAAAAAGGAAAACTGATATATGCCACAACATGAACCTCAAAAACATTAAAAAAGCAGTCACAAAAGCCACATATTATTGAACAACATTTATATGAAATGTCCCAAAGAGACAAATCCATAGGGATAGAAAGATTAGTTGCCAGGGGCAGAGAGAAGGGAAAGCTAAGGGAGTAGTTGCTAACAGAGGTGGGTTTGGGGGGATGACGGGAAGTTCTGGAATTAGACATTGATCACGGTAGCACAACCTGTGAATGTACCAAAATCCAATGAACTATACCTTTCAATAGGGTACATTTTACAGGTATTGTGAATTTATCTCAATAATAGTAAAAGAACATGTGCAAAAGAAATGGAAAAAAAATTTTTAATGTGAATCTAACTTTAAAATTGTACTCCTTTATATTCAAGGCATTTTATTTAAAAAAATTTTTTTAAGTTTATTTATTTGGAGAGACAGTGTGAGTTGGGGAGGGGCTGAGAGGGAGAGGGAGACAGAATCCCAAACAGGCTCTGCACTGTCACTGCAGAGCCCCCTGTGGGGCTCAAACTCACAAAACCAGGAGATCATGACCTGAGACGAAACCAAGAGTTGGACACTTGACTGACTGAGCCACCCAGGGGCCCCTATATTCAAGACATTTTAATGTTCCATTTAGTAATGTATTCATTATAATATTCCTGGTTCTTTTTTTTTTTTTTTTTTTTTTTATTTCTAGGAGAGAGAGAGAGAGAGAGAGCGTGAGCAGGGGAGGGTCAGAGAGAGAGGGAGTCACAGACTGAAACAGGCTCCAGGCTCCGAGCTGGCAGTCAGCACAGAGCCCCACGCGGGGCTCGAACCCACGAACCGCGAGATCGTGACCTAAGCGAAAGTCAGACGCTTAACTGACTAAGCCACCCAGGTGCCCCTAACATTCCTGGTTCTTAACTTTAGTTGTCAAACTGTTGTTTTTAGCACAACACCAGATATGTTTACTGGAATGCAGGAGTCAAGCTGGATAGTTAGGGAGACAAGTAATCTGTTTAGGGTGACAAAACAAGTAAATTTGCTCCATTATTTCCAGTAGCTTTGTCAGAAGCATCATCCCAGGATTGCTTCATTTTACAAAATGGAGGAGTTTCACAAGAGTAGGCTATGAATAGATAATTTCCCTGATTTCCATCATAATATCAGAGATTTCGTAATTCTCTTAGAGTTGAAAATTTTTATCATAAGAAGGCTTAAAATGGTAGCTAAACTCCATGGACCACTGGAAAACTCTTACGTGCAAGTTCTTATATAAAAGAATAATAAGAAGTGAAGCCCTTTTCATTTCTTTTATTGGTAGCATTAAATGGACAATAATGCAGGAAGTACAAATTCAACAACTGCCTAATGTATAAACCAGATACTGCCTTACATCATTTTCAAAAACTACTTTATTACTAAATAGCATCACCTAAGCACTTTTACAGAGAAAAACGTGAACATTTCTACATTATAAAAATATGAGACAGAGCACAATATGTGCACTATTAGTAAAAGATATTATTTGGTCTTTGTCAAATATATCTGAACCCAATATATTCATATATTTTCTAAACTCCAATATGCAACTCTGTCAGAAAAACAAGTGATCAAATCTAGTTTTTAGAATATACATGCATATATATGTCACCTGGATGTGACAAAGTTATATGATAATCTAAAGTAAAATTAAAACATAGAAGTCAAGCTACTTTTAAATTCTACAGAACATTAAAAAAATACTTAAATACTAATTAAGCAGAAGTTTATGATTCAAGAAATACATAAACAGCAGTCTATGACTGCCTTTTAAAAAATGGAATCAACAAGAAAGAAGAAAGATCAAACCTGCTTCATTGCTTCTACCCGCTTGTTGAGTGCCGTGGTTTGCTCTATCAGAGATTCTGCTGCATCATCATGATCTCTCAGTCTTTCAACAAGAGCTTTAGCATCAGCGAGTGCCTTCTCAATCGTGCAACTCATTTCTAAAGGAATACCTATAAAATTAAAATTAAGATTCAAAACAAAGCCAGCATGCTATTTTATTATTTTAGGTTCATGTTAACATAGATGTGTTTCTTAAGCTACATTTGTTATAGGATTGTTTACAGGGAGAAAAGACATCTAAGAACCTCTTGTGGTTTTGCTTCTGTTAGGATGGCATAAACTTGAAAGTGATTTTATAACAGTAAAAAAAATTAGAGCATGAAGAAATGATTTGCAGACATAATCAGAATGTATTTAAAACACCCTGAATCTACGGTGGGGAAAAGAAGTAGAAATCAAGTGAATACATTTTTTATTGTATACAAATTGTGCTTTTTGGGGCACCTGGCTGGCTCAGTCAGTAAAGCATGTGACTCTTAATCTTGGGGTTTTGAGTCCAGTGTTTGGGTGTAGAGAGCACGTAAAAATAAAATCTTTAATTAAAAAAGATGTACTCTTCCTGAGGGCACTCTTCTCTTGTTATTTGTGAAAAAGACTATTTTATTCTGTGGTTCATGACTGTCAGTCACTAACTAGATCCTTCCTAGCCTCTGCTTAGTTAGGTGACCTGAGACACCATTCATAACACACACTGACCAGCCAAAGTGGTCTCTACGTGTCGTGCTGTGTCAAAGTGTCTTTCTTTTGGACACTACTTCTTATAGGAACTATTAGAATCCTAACTCTTGCACTTTCCTTAGTAAATGGTTAAAAAAATATTAGAGTACCAGCCATTATCAGAAATTTTTGATATGTTAAAAATCACATTTGGGGTGCCTGGGTGGCTCAGTCAGTTAAAAGCATCTGACTTTGGCTTAGGTAATGATCTCATGGTTCATGGGTTGGATCGAGCCCTGCGTCGGGCTCTGCTTCAGATTCTGTGTCTCCCTCTCTCTGACCCTCCCCTGCTCGCTCTCTGTCTCTCAAAATAAAATAAAGACATAAAACAATTTTTTTAAATCGTATTGATTTGTTAAATCAATTTGATATACTAAAATTAAGTATTTAAGGAGTTCAAAATACTAGGAGACAAAATATGAAATACTCAATAGTTAGCTTCATCATTTGGTATGCAGAGACCGCAAAACAAATCCTGACTTTAAACTAATCTCTCTCAAAAATGTAAACCTTCTGAAACTTACCATCTTTTTTTTTTAAGTTTATTTATTTTGAGAGAGAGAGACCGACCATGAACTGCAGATGGGCAGACAGAAGAAGAGAAAAAATCCCAGGCAGGCTCTGTGCTATTAGCACGGAGCTTGATCTCACAGTTCGTGAGATCATGACCTGCCCTGAAATCAAGAGTTGGATGCTTAACCGACTGAGCTACCCAGGTGCCCTTGAAAATTACTGTCTTTGAATTTTTCTCTTTATACTAGTTTTAGCTTACCTTATATGAGCCATTCTTTCTTCAGGGTTTTCTCAAAAAGTTAAATCACACTGTAAAATTACTAGGCCGGAAGCCAGGTCTATAAATTAAAATTCTCGTACGGATCCCAGTTAAGGGCTATAATTAAGGATTTCATCAACTTTAGGAAGAGAGAATTTGCTACAGAATGTGACTGTTAGATTCTACTGTACTAGTTCAAACCTGAATAAGAGGATTTCAACAGAACAAATCAAAAGGTAAACCTGCCAATTTAGAAAATCTTCAATATGTGACTAGACATTTCCAGAGAGCTTTCAAAATTAAACAAGCTGGAAATGAATACAATTTCTGGCTCCTGAGATAAAACTACCAAAAGATTTGTCTTCTAAGATTTGAGAGGTTTAGAAAAAGGTACTTGAAAAAATGATAAGCAAAAAGGTCATTAGTTACCAACGTCCCATACTAGCTAAAACACAAAAGGACAACTATCCAATATTAGGGCGTCTAACAATGCCCTAAACTTCCAAACAGAATTACCTAACACTACAGATGGGTAATAATACAGATTTCTTATTCACATGTGACTCACCATATCTCCCATTAACCCCACTACTATGAAACACCAGATCCTTCAGAGTAAAAGCTCTGAGTTATTTAATGCCCCCTTACCAATAAAACCCACAAAAACAAACAGAGCAATACAAATAGGGAGGGAGAAGAGGGGACAAATTGACTTATAATGAGTAAAAAAAAAAAAATTAAAAACAGAACACATTATTTGTCGTATAGCAAACATAACTGGTTATAACAAACGGTCAAAGGAAATTAAAAAAAAAAAACAAATTTGAAAGTCTGGAGAAAACTGTAAAAGACTTTAGAGACATAAAGTTTATCTTGGCTGAATAGTACAACTCAAGTACTAAGCATCTCTAACAATTCCAGGTTGCAACCTATAAAAAAAATTATTGGGACCACTATTAGAGGAATACTTTATGCTGTGTAACACAACACCTACAAATATAATACACAGGATCTGTTTCCAAATAGAATGCACTAAGGCTGCTACATAAAATCAGATGATAGGTCACCTAGACATGAAAATAGTTACACTGTGTATAATTCAGAAAGTTGCACCACCCTGCAAAAAAAGGGTAAAAGAAAAAAAAACCCAAAAAGCTATGCTCCTTAGATTCCTCTAAGCAAAAGAATCCATAGACATTGATTAACTGGAACAGAGCCCTGACTCTAGATGGAGTCTTCCTAGGTAAATCATAAATCTTTCTTTTTAAAATATGAAAATGTTATGCTGTGTTCTGGGGATATTAACTTCAAAACACGGAACCAAGGAGTCACTGCCTATTATGTCCTGCGCCTTATTTGAGAAGCTAAAACATCCTCCTTCCCTCAGAGCAATCCCAAGCATTTTCTGAACTTGTACTAGGTCTTCAAACCTCATGTTGCCATGTCACAGATCCCTATGGTAAAGGAAACTAGTCTACATTTTCTACAGTTGAATTATCATGAAATACTGTTACTTTCTTCTTTTCATATTACCATCCACTGGTGATGCACTTACTCCAACTACACTTACTGCAAGAATGGTTCATGACCGTGTTTCTATAATTCACGAAGTGCCTAAGCCCAAACAAAACTTTTGAATTCTCTAGGACCAAATCTTGACTTCACCGCTTGTTAATGGGCTTTATATTAAACACAAAAAGTGACAATACCAGGCTTGATATACAATAGATACTTCAGTCATTCTGCTAAAATTCAGTTTCTTACCAGAAGCCAAACTGGTCAAATGACTTAACTGTGGCTAAGATACAACAACTTGCTAAAAAAGAAAAAAAAAAAAAGTAAATTTACATACTAATAGCTGGATCATGTTTGGAATAATTTTCTTGAAATGCTACAAAAAAAAAAGTTCCTCAGATATCTGTTAATAAACAATGCATACACGGACTATTTGATAGCTTGACACTACCTAATAGACATACACAATAAAAATAATACTATACAAGCTAACATGCTATGTATGTATTAGTATACATAGCATTATAAGTACGGAACTACTTTAAAGTATGCTATAAACAAAGTTCTCTGACTACAAGTCCTTATGCAGGGCCTCAGATAAAACAATAAAATCAAATCTATGGAGAAGTTCAAAGATTCCATCATAGACACACAAAATCTGGTCTAATTCCAAAAAGAGACATGGAATGATCAAATTGTAACATTCATAAAGATAAGAGCTGCCACAATCAGAATGGTGACTTGATGGCACCTGATGAAACCTCAAATGGACCCTAGGAACTCCATGAAGCATCTCATTCCAATAGGAAAAAAAAAATTGGCCACAATATTCAAAACACTGATGAGAAAACTTTTTGTATAGCATAAGATATGGCCCAGTGCGTGCTTTATTTGTAGATAAATCTGGAAAATTTTCATTATTTTTTTCTTTATAAAATTTTTAAGGTTTATTTACTTTTAGGAGAGAAAGACAGAGAGAGTGGGAAAGGGGCAGCAAGAGAGGGAGAGAGAATCCTAAGCAGGTTCTGCACTGTCAGCATGGAGCCTGATGTGGGGCTTGAACTCACAAAGCATGAGATCATGACCTGAGCCGAAATCAATGGTTGGACACTTAACTGACTGAGCCACCCAGGCACCCCCGGAAAAATTTTAAAGATGAAGTGAGAACTAAAACCATTCCTAAAGCATTTTAATGTCTCCCAGTAGATTTTATAGGGTTGTCTCTCTATCCTCTAGGAATATGTAACATTCTTTAATATACCAGAATATTTATTTTATGAAATGGATTGAAAAGTCCCATGTTGAAAAGCCATAATATTCACAGTAGTTAAAATACTATTATAGTTTGTATTTCCTACCAACTACATTCTAACTTATAACCAAGTAATATAGAAACAAAAGCAAATAGTAACATAGAAACATATTTAACTGGAACAGTTACTTATGAATTTAAATTATGCAACACAGTGTCTTTTCCTCAGAAATCTTCCTGTCTTCATTCCCAGACCTCAGGAAAACTCAAAGAGAATAAACCCAAGTAGGTCTAAGCTCAGACACATCATAATCAAATTTCTGAAATTTCAAGAAAAATTCTTGAGAACAGTTAAGAGACAAATGATACTCATAAAGAACCCACAATTTGAAGGATTATTGATCTTTCATCAGAATCAGGATGGCCAGACACCAAAATGATTGAAACTGAAAATAGAACACTTAAGACACAGAAAGAACTGTCATCCCAGAATTCTATAGCCAGCAAAAATACCCTTCTTACATGAGGGTGAAATAAAAAATCATTCTCAGAAGAAAAACAGAATTAATTTCTAATAGATTTGTTCTAAAGGAAATTCTTCAGAGAGAAGCAAAATGGTATCAGAAGGCAACGAAAGCATCAGGAAATAAGGGAGAGTAACAGAAATAGGCAAATATAGCAAACTATTTCTGAGTGTTTTAAAATGTCTTATGTTTGAAAACAAGAACTATAACTTTTGTCTGATAGAATTTTCAACTTATGTAGATATAATATGTAACTATGACATAAAGGTGGAAGGGCAAATGGACCTATAAAGTGAAAAGGTTTCAACATGTCACTTGAAGTTATTAAAT